CCCTCGATATACAACGCTCGCGAGGTGTTCCTGCAAGTCGGCTCTCAGCAAGCAAGCACTCTCGTCCTCTGATCCTTGTTGAGTTTGCCTCTGGTTTCCTCATCTAAGCCCTAAACCCTACACCCTAAACCAGCCTAAAGCCTAAACGCCCTTAACCCTAAACCCATGATGGAAGGGAGGCTACAGGGCACCGAGCTTCGCACTTGGAGTCCAAGCCGACCTGGCCCAGGGCAGTAAGAGGTAGAGTGAGGCCATTTTTGTATCTAGCCAGGCTCCAAACCCCTGTAAATCCTAGCCCGCCCCCCTCCGTTCTAGACCATCCCACCCCCCATGCTGGGAGAACAAGGGTAGATGGGGCAGAAGGAGTGGCCTTGAGCCGCAAGACCTCCATACCCCGGACCATGTAGTACTCCTTGCCATCCTGGCACGGATTCCAGATTCCAGATTCGGGATGTTGAGGTCCGCTTTGCAGGAGGCTCTTGCTGGGTTCAAGGTCCAAATCCCTCCAGAGCTGCCTACATCTCCAAGAACAAGTCCAGGGCTTGCCCCAGCCTACCTATTTCCCCGGGTAAAGCCAGAAAGACCCCCTCAGATGGTCAGGGAGGGCCCCAGCCTACTTATTTTCTCCGGGTAAAGCCAGAAAGACCCCCTCAGAGAGTCAGGGAGAATGTGACAGTCCGAAGTGTGCGCACGCGCAGAAGTGTGCCAAAGCCTTCGGAAAGCTCCATGAAGCCGAGGCCTTCTCACTGAGCCCCCGCCCCCAACGATACTCTTCAAGCTTGCCCCCGGCGCGCCAGGTAGTTCTTCCAGCAACCCTGCAGTTCGGACAAGACCCGGTCCTTTCCGGCGGCAGATGCTTGGGCTATAGGGGGTTCCAGTCCTTTGCGAAAAGGCTTTCAAAATCTACCAGAAGAAGCCACAGCACTGCCGATTCCGCCCAGCTTCTACGGTACCGGAACTTGCAGGGCTTTAGCGTGCCCGAGACACCTTCCGCTGCCGAGCCCTTGGTGCCCAAAGAGCAGCTTTCACATGGTTGGGACTCTGTTGCTACTGTTGCTGATGGCAACCTGGTGGCCCAATGAAGGTTCAGAGCTGCTGTTGTGCGACACTGCTAGAGTACAGGGTTAAGTGATCTTGACGGGCTCTGCAAATCAGCAAAGCACTCCGTAGTATGCAAGCGACTTTAAAGCCAAGCCATTCAACCCTAAACCCTAAACCCTAAACCCTAAACCCTAAAGCGTGACGAAAGCAAAATAGGAAGGCTTCTGTGAAGCTCCTTCTCGCCCAAGGCCGCGCTGGCTGCATTGGAAGGGGGGCTTGCCTCAGGCCTCCATGGACACCAGCACATGCCGGCACACTTGAAATTACACAAATAAACACATAAACTAAATACATGAAGTAATAAATACACACATACATACATACATATATATATATATGCTCCATATAGCTCGCCCCCCCCCCAAGATCCACCTTTCCCTGTCGCGAGGTGCGCCGTGGGCTGCTAGCAGCTCCGAGGGCCGAGGGATATGGTCGTGAGTTTGTGGTTTGGGATTTGGGGTTTTGGGAGCCAACTCTTGAGACGCAGGCAGTAGCACAGGAATCTGCAATGTTTGGGGAGCTGCTGTGATTGAGCCGGGGAGTTTCGGCTCGCATCTGTTGATGTAACTGTGCTGGGGCTATGGTCACGGTGTCTTTAAAACTACTGAAATGGGACCTCTGTCCGGATGCAGTGCTGCTCATCCATGAGTTTGCAAAGAAGCCCACCCCGGTACCCAGAGCACCACGGCCACCACTTCGGATCGGCAAGTTAAGTGACGGAGACGCGGCTTTGTTTACAGCAAAGGCATACCACATATAGTGAGAATATATGTTGGTACACAACCTATGGGGCTATTTTTGAATACAAAATGTACCCAAACAAGGATGTTCTGTCTTTGAGAACGACGACGGCGTCTTGTACAAAGTAACTCCATGGCCGGACAGTGTGTCTGAGAGACTTCTCACGACTGCGGAAAGAGCTGAACTTGGCATGTAGCTGTTAAGGCCTTGTCTTGTCCCGGGCTACTGCAAAAGCACGAGCTCGCTTTCCAATCTCCTCAGTAGATGGCCATCAACCGGTAAGCCTCTGCAGTGCTAAAACGTGTTTCAGCATTGCTTCTCACAGTTGGTTATCGCTTGCGCTCCAAGAGCTGCCAGCCCTTTCCGAGCATTCTGTTTGACGCTCAAAGTCTTTTGATTTCCTAGGCCCCACACTTTGCGTCGCAATGGCCAGCAGGGCTCCACATCGTCCAGTTTCTCTGGCACAGTCCCTGCACAATGATGCATTGGACGGTGCCATTACCTTTGATGAGGCAATCTCCCACACTGACGGCCTCAAACTTGTTCGCCTGGAGAAGCCCCTCATTGTACACAAAGAGCCGGGCTGCATCACGGTCGGAGATCTTCCGGCCAAGGATGAGATCACGGACGAGATAAAGAAGAAGGTGCAGTTCCTGGATGTACTCATGAACTGGGAGGGTGAGTTGGATTTCAAGAAGATCGAAGAGTTGTTTTTCCAACAGCGCTACAGTGATCTCCCACATCCCATCCGTATGAACGGTCAAAACGAAACGCCCTACGACATGCAGGTTTTCATCGTTTCCAAAGGAGAAAACAAGTGGGATATCGTCAAGCACATTAAGTTCGCTGAAGGGTCAAAAGTGCTGCACAGCACTATCCGCAGCATGTGCACAGGGAGGGCCCTCGAGATCGACTATTGCAAGCAGTACCGAGAGGGCGGTCGTGCTCTGCAATACCTTCTCGAGGCCATGGGCGGTTTCCAGGTACGCTACCAAAAGCTGATTCCAGCTGGTAGCTCCACCAAACCGGTGAAAGAGACAGAGGACATTCGAAAGGGGTTTGCCTTCATCCGTGAAGCAGGGCCGGAAGAGAACAGTGACGGTCAATTCACTTCTTGGACTGAAGAGCAGGTGAATGATCCCAATGGGCCACTTTTCAAATGGGACAAGGGAACCATCAAGGAGTTCCTGCGCTGCCTTGCTGACAAAGGCTCGCAGGCAAACACTATCCAAGATTGGCCCCTCACCCTGAAGAGCTTTACCCCGTGGGCCCTCAACACAATCTTCGCACCCATCTTGCCTCGCATCCTGGAGCACGCAGTCATTCTGATTGGCAAGTCAGAGGTCGGCAAGAGCCCGACGGCCTACACTCTGGCGAACTTGGCTTCTGCATTCTGGCTCCTTCAGAAGGGTCGTGAACATGAGAAGCCATCATTCCAAAGCTGCAACCACCTGGACTATTTCCGAAAGGAGAGAGGCCGTACAACAAAGCCAAGAGTCTTCGACGATGGCAATTTCAATTTGGAGTCTCCGGCCTCGGTCAAAGCTGTCACAGAAGTGACAGGCTTTGACAGGAAGACCATGGCCCGCTGGAACGCTTCTTCGTACGAGAAGAACCAGCTTTTCGTCGTCTGCTCCAACCCCTACGACCGATCAGCTGAGCCCGCCTTGCCGCCCCAAACAAACAGCGACACGGTGTCCTTTGAAGTCTTCTACAAGCTTGTTAGGCCCTCTTTCCAGAAGGACTTTGACGAGGAAGACTTGATGGGTGTCTTCAAACGCTCGGTCATGATCGTCTTCACTGACATCGGCATCTATGTTCGCTCGCCCGGCACACACCGCGACCCCATCAAGCGTGTAGCCTGGCCCGACAAAGATTTTGGGGTAGTCTCTCTCACAGCAAGGCCTACACTGTCCGCTTACCTGAAGGGCCACCTGCAACAACTCCCACCAAATCATGCGGAGGACATGCAGTGGAGTTTGAATCTTCTTCAGGCGGCCCTCGACGGAGAAGAAGTGCCCCTCTGCTACACGGTGACAGGCAAAGAATTCTCCACCGGGAAGAAGTACCTCAATGAGGTTCGCCCTGATTTGGCAGGGATTTCTGGCAGTACCACTCACTACTTCGAGGACATCCCTGAGTCAACTCAACCACCCACAAAGAAGCTCCGGTCTGTGAAATCGTCCAGCTCCCTGCTCGCATCTTCCAATGCTGCACCAACAACCGCATCTGCAGCATCGTTCGTGGCAAAGGACAAGGACACGGTAAGGTCGTCGTCTTCTACCGACACTTTCATGCCGGCCCCTTGCTCAGTCTAAAGGGAGGGTTTAGGGCTCGTCGAAACATGAACAGCTTCAAAACATAACTTGTGCCTATCACATGCCACATCACAGCCTAAACCAGCTTACGCCAAACATTTAAAAAACGCTTCTTCCGTTTTGTATGAGGTGCGTGTGAAGCAAGAGCCCACGGACGCCTTGCAGAAGTCCATCGCCTTCAAGAAGAAACTCGGCAGCCGCACGTTGCAAATCAATCTCTCCAGCTCATCAGAGAAGGAGGACACGAAACAGACGTCGTCGCCTCTCCACGCCGAGATCAAGCAGTCCCCGCCCCATCCGGATTCCACCGCTGATGGATTCTTGCCGTCGCCAAACACACATGCAGAGGCAGGAACTTCTGCAGTGGACTTCACGAATGATGAGATGGATGTTGCCTCCAACACTTCTCAAGAGGATCCAATGAAGAATCTTCCGGACGAACACGATCTTGAAGCAGAGAACCTCGGCAGGACCTTCTCACAACAGCTCGATGACTTCGTGGACAACATGCCGTCAGAGTGAGCCTCACGAGCACGATGACTGCAGCCCTCTCCTACTGAGTCCTACTGATCGCAGTTCGCACAATAGCTATGCTACGTGCCTAGTTTTGAGTCCCGGCATCCAAAGAGTAGCTGTTTTGTTCACAGGCTACTTCTCACCACAAGCTCGATCGCAGGCTCAAAACGCCCACACTTCTGATGCCAAACATGTTGCGTGCAGCACACGTCCCTTGCCTTCTCTCCGTGTTGATTTGGTGGCAATTTGTCAAGTAGCCTTGCAGCATCAAGGAACCGTTTCACAAGAACTCTTGTCATCATGCCCAGGGCGGTCATGAAAGCCATGAAGGCAAAGCCTCTTTTCCCTGCTCCCAAGCGAGGAAAGCATCGCGTCCAGCGACGCCCCGCTTCCAAGAACTATGTTCCCGTGCCATATGTTCGCCACGGCATCCTATCGGCCAACAACAAAGGGTTTCGCCAGCGATGGGGGGAGTCCATACAGCACCTCATGTCACTGAAAGGCCGCCGACTGATCACACACCTTCAGAAGGACAAAATCTTGCCCAGCTGGCAGGGTCGCCAGTGCCCTCGCTGTGCCAAAGGCGTTCTCGGGACACTCAACTACGTCAAGGCTAAGAAGATCTGGGCCTACCGATGCAATCACAAGCACTGCCACAAGTTCTTGCAGCCGCACGACTACCATCCCGTCTTCTTCACGTCTGCTGGGAACTCGTCAACGTCGCTTGGCAAACAGGCTGCAGCGCTGTGTTGTGCAACAGCCAATGTCCCCTGCCAGTCTACCCACTTGATCCTTGACATGGACCACAAGCCCGTGGAGCGCATCTACACCAACCTAGACGTCGCCCGTGCTCAGTACGTCGTCCAGCAGGAGAAGAAGATCACCTACGGTGGCAATTGGGAGGATGTAGAGGTAGATTTTTTCGATCTGGGCAAGCTCACGGACGAGTCCTTAGGCCCACGCAACACGAAGTGGGAACAGTGGGGCGGACTAGTTCAGAGAGGCTGTCCATCGTCGTTGTGCTTGTTTCGCTTGAACCCGAAGCTCACCACAAAGCGGGCGCCGGGCCCTGGCCCAATCAAGAAGGTGGACTGGGCTGTTATTGCTAAAAAACACCTCGCCAACCGCAAGGTGGTCTTGCACAGCGACGGCGCCCGTGCCTACACTCTCAAGATCCCGCAAGTGAAGCATTGCAACGTCGTCCACAAGAAAAAGAAGGTTACCGTCAACGGCAAGGCTCGGTGCTCACCATTTTTACTATTGATTCAATACATGTCCTTTCAGTTGCATCCATGAATCGTTTGGTCCCTTGTCTTCTCCATCAGGCACAGTGGGTCAAGCCCCACTACACGAAGGTTTACACCATCAAACTTCCAGACCGCCGACGGCTGAAGGTGAAAAGCGGGACGCAAGTCATTGACCGTTTCTGGGGCACTTTGAGGACCGTCTTAAAGAACTCATCCCGAGTCCCAGGTAGCCAGCAACTCGTCCGGAAGATCCGGTCGGCCCAGTTTACGTACTGGAACCGCAATTCGAACATGTGGAAGGCCACAGGTCGAATGATCCACTCTCTCTTTCAGATCAACTGAAAGACCGCTCCCTTGCGATGATTTTGAGCGCTCTCATCGCACGTCTCGTCGCGAACGCAAAACAGCAAGGACCTTGCATGTTGTTTGCATGTGCAATACTGCAAAACATCACTCGCATGAAGTACTCTGCCGCAGCTTCCAGCCTCAGCCTCCCTTCATAGCCACCCGTTGACTATCTGCAGGCCAAAATAGGGACAGTACAGCACTTTTGCAGTCCGCAGAGGCGAAAGTGCTGTACTGTCCCTATTTTCTCGTCTCCAGGCAAGCAAAAAATAGGGACAGTACAGCACTTCTGCAGTCTCCAGAGGCGAAAGTGCTGTACTGTCCCTATTTTTTGCTTCCAGGTACCAATAAAGTGCCGTACTGTCCCTAAAAAACCTAAAAAACCAATCTTTTGGGAACTACCGGGGGCTCCAGGGCTGGTAGTGCTGGAAAGATTGGTTTTTTAGGTTTTTTAGGGACAGTACAGCACTTTATTGGTACCTGCAAGCAAAAAATAGGGACAGTACAGCACTTTTGCAGTCCGAAGAGGCGAAAGTGCTGTACTGTCCCTATTTTCTCGTCTACAGGCAAGCAAAAAAATAGGGACAGTACAGCACTTTTGCAGTCCGAAGAGGCGAAAGTGCTGTGCTGTCCCTATTTTCTCGTCTCCAAGCAAGCAAAAAATAGGGACAGTACAGCACTTCTGCAGTCCGAAGAGGCGAAAGTGCTGTACTGTCCCTATTTTTTGCTTCCAGGTACCAATAAAATGCCGTACTGTCCCTAAAAAACCTAAAAAACCAATCTTTTGGGAACTACCGGGGGCTCCAGGGCTGGTAGTGCTGAAAAGATTGGTTTTTTAGGTTTTTTAGGGACAGTACAGCACTTTATTGGTACCTGCAAGCAAAAAATAGGGACAGTACAGCACTTTTGCAGTCCGAAGAGGCGAAAGTGCTGTACTGTCCCTATTTTCTCGTCTCCAGGCAAGCAAAAAATAGGGACAGTACAGCACTTTTGCAGTCCGAAGAGGCGAAAGTGCTGTACTGTCCCTATTTCATGGGTTTCAGGCAAGCCATATTCGCACATCGCAGACACACATACACCACACACACACACACTCACACACACACACACACATCGCCATAAGAACTCGGTAACACCAGAAACCAACCACCGGATCCTGGTAGTCCATTTTTGGCATCTGCATGTACGCATCGTTGCAACAAAGAAGTCTGAAACTATCGTTTTAAGAGGAAAACCCTCGGTATTTGCAGCGTTTTCGGCATCTGCATGTATAACAAAGAGTATAGACATGGAGTGAGACGAGTATGAAAAACCTTAGGGGTGGATCTTGGGGGGGGGGGGGGGCGACCATATATATATATATATATATATAATATATGTACCCCCCCCCCCATGGACCTACCTTTTTTTTGAAACCTCGGCTTGACCGATGTTTCAAAAAAGGGTGGCTTCTCCAAAACATTGGTTTTACCAATGTTTTTGAACCCCTACCTTCAAAAAACATTGGTTTTACCGATGTTTTTTGAGCCCATGCTCACGAAACATCGCAAAAACCAATAAAAACCATAAAAAACCATGATTTTCCAAACTATGGGCTTGGGTCTCCGAGTAGTTTGAAAAATCATGGTTTTTATGGTTTTTATTGGTTTTTGCGATGTTTCCTGAGCAGGGGCTCCAAAAACATTGGTTTTACCGATGTTTTTTGAAGGTGGCCTCTCCAAAACATTGGTTTTACCAATGTTTTTGAACCCCTACCTTCAAAAAACATTGGTTTTACCGATGTTTTTTGAGCCCATGCTCACGAAACATCGCAAAAACCAATAAAAACCATAAAAACCATGATTTTCCAAACTATGGGCTTGGGTCTCCGAGTAGTTTGAAAAATCATGGTTTTTATGGTTTTTATTGGTTTTTGCGATGTTTCCTGAGCAGGGGCTCCAAAAACATTGGTTTTACCGATGTTTTTTGAAGGTGGCCTCTCCAAAACATTGGTGTTACCGATGTTTTTGAACCCCTACCTTCAAAAAAACATTGGTTTTACCGATGTTTTTTGAGCCCATGCTCACGAAACATCGCAAAAACCAATAAAAACCATAAAAAACCATGATTTTCCAAACTATGGGCTTGGGTCTCCGAGTAGTTTGAAAAATCATGGTTTTTATGGTTTTTATTGGTTTTTGCGATGTTTCCTGAGCAGGGGCTCCAAAAACATTGGTTTTACCGATGTTTTTTGAAGGTGGCCTCTCCAAAACATTGGTTTTACCGATGTTTTTGAACCCCTACCTTCAAAAAACATTGGTTTTACCGATGTTTTTTGAGCCCATGCTCACGAAACATCGCAAAAACCAATAAAAACCATAAAAACCATGATTTTCCAAACTATGGGCTTGGGTCTCCGAGTAGTTTGAAAAATCATGGTTTTTATGGTTTTTATTGGTTTTTGCGATGTTTCCTGAGCAGGGGCTCCAAAAACATTGGTTTTACCGATGTTTTTTGAAGGTGGCCTCTCCAAAACATTGGTTTTACCAATGTTTTTGAACCCCTACCTTCAAAAAACATTGGTTTTACCGATGTTTTTTGAGCCCATGCTCACGAAACATCGCAAAAACCAATAAAAACCATAAAAACCATGATTTTCCAAACTATGGGCTTGGGTCTCCGAGTAGTTTGAAAAATCATGGTTTTTATGGTTTTTATTTGTTTTTGCGATGTTTCCTGAGCAGGGGCTCCAAAAACATTGGTTTTACCGATGTTTTTTGAAGGTGGCCTCTCCAAAACATTGGTGTTACCGATGTTTTTGAACCCCTACCTTCAAAAAACATTGGTTTTACCGATGTTTTTTGAGCCCATGCTCACGAAACATCGCAAAAACCAATAAAAACCATAAAAACCATGATTTTCCAAACTATGGGCTTGGGTCTCCGAGTAGTTTGAAAAATCATGGTTTTTATGGTTTTTATTGGTTTTTGCGATGTTTCCTGAGCAGGGGCTCCAAAAACATTGGTTTTACCGATGTTTTTTGAAGGTGGCCTCTCCAAAACATTGGTGTTACCGATGTTTTTGAACCCCTACCTTCAAAAAACATTGGTTTTACCGATGTTTTTTGAGCCCATGCTCACGAAACATCGCAAAAACCAATAAAAACCATAAAAACCATGATTTTCCAAACTATGGGCTTGGGTCTCCGAGTAGTTTGAAAAATCATGGTTTTTATGGTTTTTATTGGTTTTTGCGATGTTTCCTGAGCAGGGGCTCCAAAAACATTGGTTTTACCGATGTTTTTTGAAGGTGGCCTCTCCAAAACATTGGTGTTACCGATGTTTTTGAACCCCTACCTTCAAAAAACATTGGTTTTACCGATGTTTTTTGAGCCCATGCTCACGAAACATCGCAAAAACCAATAAAAACCATAAAAACCATGATTTTCCAAACTATGGGCTTGGGTCTCCGAGTAGTTTGAAAAATCATGGTTTTTATCCTCTAACATCCTACTAAACTAGTATGAGCCTAATCCAACAGGAATCCCTTCAAATCAATGAGAATCCTACGTGAATCGTAGCTAAGGTGGTGTTTTTAGGACAGATGTCATGTCTTGCGTATTGGGGCGTGATTGATTGTAAGGAGGTTTTGGTACTCTCCCAACATTTTCGCAGAATTAATAGGATTAGTAGGAATCCTTTTAAACTGAAGAGGAACCCTACTCAAATTAATAGGAACCAATCGGACTCCTATAAGAAATAACGTGAACCTTTAGACAAACCGATTAAAATGAACATGAGCCTAAACCAACAGGAATCCCTTGAAAGTGAATGAGATCCCTTTAATATTAACACGAACCCCATTAACATGAATAAGAATCTGATTAAAATTGATAGGACTCTTATTACAGAAAATAGGGGCCTTATTAATAATTAGGAACCCTATGAAACTTTATTGGGATCCTATGAAAGTAAATAGGAATCCTCTATTGAATTATCGGGACCGGACAACAGTTAATAGGAAGCCTATTAAAATGAATAGGAACCTTAACAAGTTGGAAACAACCCGGGTTACAAGTCACAGGAATCCTATTCAAACGAGAAGGAATCTTTCTAAATCAATAGGAACCAATAGGCCTTAAAAACAATAGAATCCTTTAACAAGAACTGATAGGAATCCTAAACTAGTATGAGCCTAATCCAATAGGAATCCTTTAAAATTAATGAGAATCCTATGCGAATCCCAGTAACATGCATAAGAATCCTGTTGAAATTGATAGGAACCTTATTAAATTGGTAGGAGCCTTAGGGCGTGATGTCTTAAGATATGTTGCTAAGGTAATTACAGGTTTAGTATAGATGTTAGGACTTGCTTATCGGGGGATGACTGTTTGAGATATCGTAGCTAAGGTAGTGTTTTTAGGACAGATGTCATGTCTTGCATATTGGGGCGTGATTGATTATAAGGAGGTTTTGGTACTCCCTCGAGATTTTGCAGGATTCGAGTTTGTTGCTTGGTACTACCTCGAGAAATGGTGGCTGGGAGAGAGCCTCAGATCACGAAAATCATGGAAAACATTGGTTTTACCCATGTTTTTGAAGGATGGAGCCAGAAAACATCGGCAAAACCAATGTTATCCATAAAATCCATGGTTTTCAAACCATGTGGCTGGGAGCATCCAATTCACGGATAATTGGTTTTACCAATGTTTTTGAAGGATGGAGCCCGAAAACATCGGCAAAACAAATGTTATCCATAAAACCCATGGTTTTCAAACCATGTGGCTTAGACCGCGAAATTCATGGATAAAAACAAAGGAAATTGGTAGGTCCATGGGGGGGGGGGGTAGCATATATATATAGCTGCGTGTTTATGCTACGATGGCATCCCCTGGCCCTTCCAAAGCCTGTCGGCTCTCGGTGGCACTTGAACCGGCGACGACGGAGTGGCCGACGGCGGCTGCACCTGCGCTGCAGAGCTGTTCTCATGCGCCCGATCTGAGATTCGTCACTGACAAC